TAGGGACTGTTCTGCAGGAAGGTGAACACAACCGGGTCAGATTTTCTAGGAGTTGAGACAGGAGCAGATGACACAGAATGAGTCTGGGTCATCGTGGAACCATCCTGACCCAGGTAGAGCAGGACTGAGCTGTTTCATGTAAACAGCCCACGTGGATGAGCCTCTCATGGTGTGGGACCTGCACGTGTATAACTTGAGCAGGTGTGACGTCTAGTTTCATGTGAGGACAAACATAAAGGAAACTTTTAGTGTTGGCTCATGGTATTTTTTCATCCATTCCCAAAGTTGTGAGTTGGCTGTTTCTATGAAGTAGTAGATGATGATGATGATGTTGTTGTTGTTGTTGTTATGTGCCGTCGAGTCACTTGTGTCTCATAGCAACCCTATGTACAATAGCCCTAAACTCTGTTCTGTCCTGTGCCAGTCGCACTGTCTCTGACACTCCCATCCCGATTGTCTCAGTCACCGATTTAATCCACCTCCTAGAGGGCCTTCCCCTCCTGCTCCTGCCCTCCACCCTCCCAAGCATGATGTCCCTCTCCAAGGACCGGTCTTCTCCTTACAACATGTCCAAAGTTCATCAGACGAAGTCTCAGAATCCTTGCCTCCAAGGAGCAGCCTGGTTTAACCCTCTCCAGGATGAATCTGTTTACCCAGCAGTCCACGGTACCCTCAATACTCTTCTCCAACACCAAAGCTAAAAGGTATCAATTCTCCTTCTATCCTCGCTAGTCATTGTCCAACTCTTTGATGCATAACAAGGGATTGCAAAGACCATGGCCTGTATCAGACGCACCTTAGTCTTCAGAGAAACACTATTGCTCTTCAGCACTTTGGAGAGGTCCCTAACAGCAGATTTTCCCATCGCAATACGTCTTTTAATTTCCTGACTGCTGGTGCCAAGAGTGTTGACTGTGGAGCCAAGCAAACTAAAGCTGTGAACAATCTCAATCTCTTCACCATCCATCCTGATGCTGCCAACTGGTCCAGTGGTGAGAATCTTTGTCTTCTTGACATTAAGTCTCAATCCATAATGAAGGTTGCAGTCCTTGACCCTCTGCAGCAAGCGCTTCAGGTTCTCCTCAGGTTCAGCAAGTAGGGTTGTGTCATCTGCATATCGCAGATTGTTGATAGATCTACCACCAATCCTGATACTGCATTTCTCCTCATAGAGCCCAGCCTCCTGGATGATCTGTTCTGCATACAGGCTGAAAAGGTATTTAAAACAAACAAACAATAAAGGTATGGAGACAGGACACATCCCTGGAGTATGCTCTTCCCAATTTTGAACCATGCAGCGTTCCCTTGCTCTGTTCTGACGGTTGTCTCTTGGTCCAAGTATAGGTTTCGCATTAGCACTCTCAAGTATCCTGGGATTCCCATTCTTCTCAGAGTCAGCCACAGTTTGTTATGATCCACACAGTCAAACACCTTTGTGTAATCAATGAAGCACAGATAGACATTCCTCTTGTACTCCCTGCTTTCAGCCAAGATCCATCTAACATCAGCTACAATATCCCTAGTACCACGACCCCTTCTAAACCCAGCCTGGACTTCCGGCAGTTCTCTGCTGATGTGCTGTTCCAGTCGTTTTTGGACAATCTTCAGTAGAATCTTGCTTGCATGTCAAATCAATGACATTGTTCTATAGTTTCCACACTCTGTTGGGTCACCTTTCTTTGGCATGGGAACAAATATAGGTCTCTTCCAGTCAGTTGGCCAGGTGATTGTTCTCCAGATTTCTTGCCACAACTTGGTGAGCACATCCAGGGCAGCATCTGTTAGCTGAAATATGTCAATTAGTATACCATCTATTCCTGGGACCTTAGTTTTTGCTATTTCCTTCAAAGCAGCTTGAACTTTTTCCTTCATCACCATAGGCTCTTGCTCATATATTGTTTCATTTAATTCTTCTGTGTCTGCCAATTCCTTTCAATACAGATACAGTGACTCAGTATATTCTTTGTATCTTCTTTTAATACTTCCTGGATCATTTAATATTCTGCCTAAAGCATCCTTGATTATAGGTTTGAATTTGTTCTTCAGTTCCTTGAGCTTAAGAAATGCTGAGCGAGTTCAGCCCTTTTGGTTTTCTTACTCCAGCTCCTTGCACATTTCATTGTAATATTTTATTTTGTCTTCCCACGCTGCCTTTTGAAATCTTCTGTTCAGCTCTTTAGTATCTTGAATTCTTCCTTGTGCTTTGACTTCCCTACGCTCCAGTGCAATATTCAGAGTTTCTTCTGACATCCATTTTGGTCTTTTCTTCCTCCTCTGTCTTTGTAATGAACGTTTGCACTCTTCTTGGATGATACCCTTGATATCCTCCCACAGCTTATCTGTTCTTTGCTCATTCGTGTTCCTGTTCCTGAGATGGTTCTGAAATTCAGGTGGGATAGACTCAGAGTTATATTTTGGTTCCCATGGATTCGGTTTAATTTTCCTCAGCTTCAGCTTGAACTTGCATATGGGTAGTTGATGGTCTGTTCCACAATCAGTTCCTGGCCTAGGTTTCACAGCTGATACTGAGCTTTTCTAGCGGTTCTTTCTGTAGATGTAATCAATCTGATTCCTATGCATACCATCAAGTGAGATCCATGTGTATAACCTGCGTTTATGTCTCTTAAAAAATGTGTTTGCAATGAATAAGTCATTGAATGGGTGACTGGAATGCAAAAGTTGAGAACAGAGAAGAAGATTCAGTAGTTGGAAAACATGGACTCGGTGACAGAAATGGAGCTGGAGATAGGATGGTTGAATTTTGCACTATCAATGACTTATCCATTGCAAACAGTAGAATGATAGGCAGTTCTAATATCAAATGGTTGCTTTTAATCTCATAGACACCCCCCCAGCCTTCTGATGAGAATGATTGGTCTGTCCTGAAGAGCCCGCTCCTACGTGCGGAACAGAGGTGACCTGTGTGTGTCAGGAGGGCACTGTGCGCTGTCCGTTTCTTGTGTGTGTTGCTGGGGAAGTACGTTTCCCGGTCTCTGCAGAGACCAGCAGCTGAGCAGCGTTTTCTCTCTCTGTCCTGACCAAGGCCCCCAGTTTGTTTTTTGGGGTCCTTTAGTAAGAATTGATTCCTAATTTCATAACCCTGCTTTTCCACCCTGGCCAATGCCTTTTCTGCCACCCCAAAGCAGATTTTAGTGCCTTGTGCAATGCCAGAGCCAACAAGTCAGCCAGGCTGAGGTCAGGTTTCTACACCCACCTGGAGGTAGGCAGCCTCCAGCCTGCCATGGACACACGCCTGAAGGGCAATCAGGCAGCATGAGAGTGGGGGAGCTTCCTTGCTATGTACTGAACATGCGCCCATGAAGAATCTGCGGTCACTAGCTGCCAGGCTTTCTGAGTGCAGTTCTGACCTATCAGTGACCGACAGTGTTCTGGAGAGAAATCTTCACCATCTTATTCATGGCACTTGTCTCTCCTCAGCCCAGGAATGGCTCGTTCTCGGGGGCTCCCAGAACCCTCTACTCCTCTTTCAGACACGATGTCCATGTATGGTTTGGGGTGGAGAGAAACTTGAGGGTCACTTAGCTTATTTTAACTAGATGTGTAATCAAAGCAAGTCCTAATAAACTGGTGTTTGTTAATAATCTCCTGTAGTTGTACTATCAAGGTTTTCCCAGAAAAGACTGTTTCCCAGGTCTCAGACCTAAGTCATTGTGGAAATTTCCAGAGGGGAGCTTGGTTGTCAAGATCTTTTCATAACTGTCACCAGCAGTACTGACCATGTTGTGGTCTTTTCAGACTTCAGGATTTGTCAATGTGAAAACCAGGTCATCCACCACCCCAGCCCTGGGCTCAACACCCAATCTGGTGGCCGTATGCAATGCAGGGTCACTCCTGCATTAATCACCTGCCCACAGACACACTTCACTTCCCTCAGCAGGATTTTAGATCACAAGTCCCCAGCAATCATCCCAAGCCCTGCTTTAGAGCAAGTAGTGCTGGGCTAAAGAGACCCCGTGGTGATATTCATGCACCTGGAGATCCAGGGGGAGGTGACACTGACCCTCTGCTTTTATGACTCAGGTGTGCGATTGTGGTCAGGAATTACACAAGCTCCCATGTTAAGACAGTGCACATTTTAATTTAAGGTAAACTACATAGGTTTTAGACAACACAGTTAAAGTTATCCTGGGAAATGTTTAATATCTTTTTAATTTTTTCATATTTAGTAGGTTCCACTTTTCCATAAACAAACATTTGAAATTAACCTTTGAGAATTAAAAAGAAATTAATAAAACCTTAGATGAGATCATGTCTGTACTAGAAATGTATACTAGCTTCTTAGACTTGGGCCACAGATTTGGTTCTATCTAGTCAAGGCCAAATGTTTTTAGAAGCAAAAAGTTGTTATAATTTCAGTGGTATAAATGTAGAAAATCAGAGTTAAATCCTCAGGGAAAACTCAGATCATGAAATTGAGAGAAAGTTTTAAAATCTCAGTCAGTGCTGTTGAGTTGGAAATGACTCCTTGCTGACCCTCCAGCGGGTTTTCAGAGACTGCAGTTCACAAAGGAGATTGTCCATCTCTCTCTGATGATCAGCTAGTGATCATGAACCACCTGCTTTGTGGTGACGCACAGTTCCCCACGCAGTAGGCCAAGAGAGCTCCCCTGCGTGAGTCTGTACAACCTGATTCTTCTCGTGGGTCTGCCTTGAAACAGGCAGAGTCCTTCATGAGTGTCCACTGAGCCAGTGCTGTCACAGCAGGCACATGAGCAGTCATCCATGGCATGGCTGCTGGGTTTTGTGTCCCAGGGGTTCCAGACAGCCTAGAGGCTTCTGTGATCCTGGGTGTATCTGCAGGGACTTTGTATGTTTTCATCTTATGTCCTGAGTAAAACTGCACAGCATGCAGGTTTTAGATGCATGCCTTCTGGAAGCATTCAAAGTAACAAGGCCATGGAACCATCTAGCCAGGGTCAGGGAATAGTGGGAGGTCTGAGCCAGCCTCAGCCATTTTCATGTCTCTACTCCCATTCCAGGTCTTTCCATGGAGACGCCTCAGCCTTCTCCCTGCACCCACAAGAACCCACTGGGCCCCTACTCTGCGTTTCAGGTGAATCTGAACCCAGGTGAGCAGGGCCCATCTCCCCTCTTGAGCCCTGCCCTCAGTGACACAGGAGCCAGGACAGATGATGAAGAGGAGACAGCACACAAGGTGGGCACTCTGGGGGACACAGGCCTTCCTCACTCCTCCTTGGATTGATGCGAGGGGCGGAAGGGGTAGGGGCAGCCAGGGCAGGGCATCAGCTCCTCAGTAGTGGCTCTCACTGCCCCCCATGCACACAGAGAGCTCTGAGCTAGGTAGCCACTGGCTGGGGCCCTTGTGCATCCCACAGACAGGTCCCCGCCCCAAGGAGCTGGTGCTGGGTTGGGTCCTTGGTACATAGAAGGGCCCTCCACTCTCCTATCAAGGGACATCCACTCTGAAAACCAACCAGTCAGATGCCAGAGGAGGGCTTCCTAGGAGCCTTGTCTCGAGTCAGTAAGGGCAAGCCCCAGTGGAGCCTGGGCTGGGGATGGAGGACAGTGTAGGAGGGAGCCTGAAGGGACAGGGGTCCTCATCTGTGGAGGAGGAAGGGGGCCATGTGCCTGTATGGTTGCAGTGCCGTGGGGAGACCCCGCCAGGGTCTCTGGTCATCCCAAGTACATGTGTTGTAGTTAGCCTAAGGGATGGGGAAGCCACGCTTTGGGTGGTATGCATGGCACAGAAAAAGACAGGGGGCCAGGGAATTGGAGGTTGGAGAAGAGGATGGTCAGCATAACAGGTGAGGAGGGAATTGGCTGGAGGACGTGGGAAGGAGAATGCTCTCAGTGGCTGCCTACAGTGGGTACTTCCTGGATTAGCTAGGGAAGGGGCTTTCTGTCCCTGGACATTTGCGTTTCCACATGGGGCATGAACCCTCCACTGGACCAGCCTGCATGTGACAGGGACAGGGCTCCATCTTATTGGATGCTGTAGGCCTTGCCCGCATAGAATGGCCAGGGCCAAGCTGTGTGAGCCCTGATCCATGGAATGACTTTTACATTGTTGTTAAGTGCCATCAAGTCAAGTACAACTCATAGCGACCCTATGAACAACAGATCTGAACCTGTCCTATCCTGTGCCATCCTCCTGCTTCCTGACACGCTAGATCCTATTGCAGAAGTTACCATATCAATCCACCTGGTTGAGGGTCTTTCTCTCCTTTGCTGACCCTCCACCCTTCCAGCGTCATGACCTTCTCCAAGGAATAGCCCTTCCTAGCAACATGCCCGAAGTATGTGAGGGGAAGCCTCATCATTTGTGCCTCCAAAGCGCACTCTGGCTGCACCCTCTCCAAGACATATCTGTTCATTCTCTTGGCCGTCCATGGGATGTTCAGTGCTCTCCAACACCACAGATCAAAGGTGCTAACTCTTCTCCTGTCGTTCTTATTTATTGTCCAGATCTTGAAAGCATAGCAAGTGATCAGAAAGATCATGGCCTGATCAGAATTTTATGTTACATCACTCAACAAAATAGAAAACATTAGCGCCTTCAATCTACTGCGTCATCAGCAGCAATGTGACTTTATTACAAGAAGTGGTTGATGGTTTGGTGGCTCTTTGTCCACCCTAGGACTTGGGAGCTACTACAGAGGACAGTCCCTAAGCGCCTGGGCTGTGGTCCCCATATATTATTAGGTCCGAGGCTAGCGGCTACATCCTGGCCGGGGGAGGACTGCTCCTGGTGCCAGGGAGCCTCACACATGTGCACGGGGACCACTAAGGTCTATCCCTTTGTGGTGGTTGTCCTGACTTGCTATCTTCCCTGTCTGTCCAGCATGCTCACGGCAGCATGTCTGTATCTGTGCGGGCAGAGCACGTAGGCTGGCAAGGGAGAACCTTGAGGCTATGGTGGGCAGAGCTCCAGTAGACAGAAGCTCTGGTAGGCAGAGGTCTGGAGGAAGCAGAGCTGCAATAGGCAGAAGCTGAGGCCAGGTCATGCTGAGAGCCCTCCTTTCCTGGGCCTCGCAGGGCAGTGTGTCCAGGTGCCTTCTGCATGGGGGCAGGTCCTGCAGAGCCCAGGACCCATCTTGTCTGTGCCTTTACCTTCTGCAGCTTCATCCCTCAGAGCCCTGGCAGGCTGAGGCGCCATGGCCATCAGTGTGTCCCCTTTCCAACAGAGACCTGTGAGGGCCAACAGTGCTCCAGGGCTCTGATGGAAAGGTGGTGGCTTCTGCTCCAGTGCCTCACAGGCAGCCTGGCGTCCTCCTGCCCATTCAGCCAGCTCGGGGCTGCTTCTGCCCCATGGCCGGTATGGCCAGCAGCCATCTGTGGGATGGGGCAGTGTTGTGTGCCCAACTTGAGGTCTGCTTGGCACTGACCCGGAGCCCTTCCAGACCTCATGGCCTCAGCACCTCACTGCCTTTGATGGAGACTCCCAGGCTCTGGAGTGACCCCCTGCGGGCCATGCTGCCTTTGGTCAGGTGCATTCAGGTGGCTTCACCTCTCAGGGAGGGGGCTCAAGGAAGAAACTCATATTCAGAGTTGGAGGTGCTAATTCTGAACTTCCACCTTGGGGAGCTGTTGTCAGAATGGAGGAGAAAACAGCATAAAGCAGGGGGGCAACCCAGCTTCCCTGTGTCTTTATTGAAAATTGCCAAGGAGCAAATTACAAGAGAATTCTATGCAAGTAAAGCTGAGCTCTTTCTATTGAAAACTTTATGCTTTACTTAGGAGAAAGGGGTTAGCAAATACAATCCAAGAATTGTGAAAAATGCCCAAGGTCTGCCTTGGCCCTGAGCCCCTGTGACCTGTCCCAGGGGGAATTCCGGCTCCCTCATATCCTGATACAGCATTTACTTTTTCATTAATATTTAGTTTGAAATTTGGTTTCCCGCGGGGGGATGTGGCAGCTTCCATTCAAGCCCAGGAAGGCAGCCTGCAGATTGCATATTTCAAGTGGGGTCTCAGGCCAGCACCAAGACAGAGTGTGGGCATCCCTGACCCAGCTAGGCTCCTCCGCACTGGAGAACTCTTGGGAAGTGAATTTTAAAATTTGTTTTTATCATGAAGCACAGAATGGTGCCCTGGGTCCATCTGTGTGGGCCTCTCAGGATCTAGGGGTTTCAGTCTGAGGCAGTAGGAGCCCCAGAAGAGAACTGGATACTGAGACAGCACGTGGGCTGCAGGCATAATGACACAGGGCAGGAAGGACGCACGTTGGGAGATGCCCACCTGGGTTTCAAGCTGGCCTGTGGACTGTTGCAGAGTGATGGTGTGGGTAGTAGTCAACTTTGGAGATTTGAGGGGATACCCCCTACAAACACAGAGGCCCGAAGTATCTTATGTCTCACCTGAGCCAAGACTCACAACTCGCTGGTGCCTTGTGTACCTGTCACCCATGCCACCCTAGGAGAGACACGGAAGAGCTGGTGCTCAGTTCGCACTGAGGCCACCCACAGGGAGATGGAGGACACACATGGCACACGTCCTGGTTGCCAACATCTCATGTCCTGAACAGCTGTCACGGCAGCAGTGTCACGAGCCCAGTGGGGTGGGGGTGGGGGGTGACCAGAGCAGCTTCACGTGCTCAGACAGCGTGTGGCAAGGACACCAGGGGACGCAGACTGCCTCACCTGTGAGTGCCTCACCTTGGTACAGGCCGTGCCCAGCAGCAACCTCCTGTGGCCATGTCTTTCTCTTTCAGTGCGCACCCACAGACCAGGCGTACTTCATAGCAAAGGAGATCCTGGCCACAGAACAGACCTACCTCAAGGACTTGGAGGTCCTCACTGTGGTACGAGGCCCGAGTCCTGGCCACCTTGACTTTCAGAAAGCTCACAGATTCACACCAAGGACAGGAGCATGTCCTCGGGAAGCGGGGCTGAGCGGCCGCACTGGGTCCTGGACACGGCCAGTCAGCAGTGTGGCCCTTGGAGGTGCCTCTGTCCCTGGGGTGCTGTGGTCTGGTGTGGGGGAGCCAGGGTGTCAGTGAGCTCTCCCCACAGTGGTTCCGCAGCATGGTGGTGAAGGAGGACGCCATGCCCCAGGACCTGCAGACTCTGCTCTTCTCCAGCATCGACCCCGTCTACGAGTTCCACCGTGGCTTCCTGCGAGAGTTGGAGCAGAGGCTAACGCTCTGGTAATGCCCCTGCTGAGCACCCGAAGGGGGACCCCTGCCCGGACCACCCCTCCTGCCCCCACACCAGCTCTAACCCCCGGCCCTCTCTGTTGGTCTGTCATCAGGGAGGGGCCTTCTGGTGCCCACACACGCAGCGGCCACCTCAAGATTGGGGATATTCTCCTCAGGAACATGCGGCAACTACAGGTAGCGTGGCCCACACCACAGGATAATAACCTGTACGCGAGTCTTGGGGGTCCCCCAAACTCCCCAGTAACGGCAGTGCTGACCTCCCACAACAGTGTACACCGATAACCTTTCACCCCATAACAGTTCACCCTGTATAACACTGCACTCCCTACACTTCACCACCACAACACTTGATCTCCACAACACTGCGCAACACTTCGCCTCCCAACACGTCACCTCCAGCACGTCACCGCCACACTTCGTCTCCACAACACTTCACCTCCAGCACTTCACCTCCCACCACTTCACCTCCACAACACTTCACCTCCCAACACGTCACCTCCAGCACGTCACCGCCACACTTCGTCTCCACAACACTTCACCTCCAGCACTTCACCTCCAACACTTCACCTCCCACCACTTCACCTCCACAACACTTCACCTCCAGCACGTCACCTCCAGCACATCACCTCTAGCACGTCACCTCTAGCATGTCACCTCCAGCCCTTCACCTCCAGCCCTTCACCTCCACAACACTTCACCTCCACAACACTTCACCTCCACAACACTTCACCTCCA